GACGCAGGTGGTAGTGGTCGTGGTGGTGGTGACGGTAGTCCGCCTGAGGGGACTACCACCGGTGGGCAGGAGCAGCAGTCCCAGCAGCAGCAGGACCAGCCCCAGCCGCAGCCGCCGTCCCAGCAGCACCCGCCGCAGCCGTGGGCTCGTCTCCCGCCTGGTTGGCCCGGCACCTCCGGAGGCGGTGGCCGTGGTGGCGGCCCGCGCAGCTTGGCGTCTACCAGCGGCTCCAGTGCTGTGACCTGCCAGTACCAGCTTCAGACCGGGCCTCTCCGCGGCACTCTGTGCCGCCGCCCGCACCCGACCGCCCACTGTTTCCGCCGCCTCGACGATCTTTTTCGTCGTCGCTTTGGCCCGGCCCCGGACCTCCCTGACTGGCACAGCCTGCTCCGCCAGGGCGTGCCGATCTTTGAGTTAGACATGGATCAGATAGGTGCTGCTTTGCATGCTTTGTATGCTGACGCTTCTAGTGTTGATGGATCTTACTACCATGTGTACTCTAGTTTAGGTGTTTCACCCTTGTGTAGCTTAGCTTCCCCTGCTGCGACAGGCGTAGGACTGCCTAGGTTGCCTAGTCTAGTCGCTGCACCGGCTCCGTCCGCGGCCTCCGCCACTGCGTCGCTGTCCTTCACTCTTGACTCTGGTGCTTCTGCCTGCTTCTTCCGCGACCGTTCCACGCTCACGCCGCTTGCTGCACCTGCTGTTGTCTCTCTCGCTGACCCCTCTGCGGGTCCGGTCGTCGCGCGCAGTTCTACGTCCCTTCCCTGTCCGGCAGTTCCCTCGGGCTCCCTTACTGGCCTCCACGTTCCCTCGTTCTCCAGGAACCTGGTTGGTGTCGGCTGTCTCCAGGACCTCGGCGTCACCACCACGTTCCCCGGGCACGAGCGGTTCGCTGTCTGTTCTGAGGCTGTCTCAGGTTCCCCCCTTGCGACGTTCCCCCGGGACCCCGGTGTCCGGTCTGTTTACCCTACACACCGCTTCCCCCCCGGTTGGTGCGTCCTCCAGGTCGCTGCAGCTTGCTCGTGTCGGTCCCTCACTCACCCCTCCCTTCTCTGGCACCACCGCTTAGGTCACCCTGCTCTCCCGCGTCTGCGTCACATGTCCCAGCACGGTCTTGTCTTAGGTCTCCCCGCGTCGCTCCCTGCCCTTCCTCCCTCGACTGCGCCACCGTGCACGCCTTGCGTCGAGGGTCGGCTCCGCCGTGCTCCTCACTCCTCCTCGCTGCGTCCTGCTACTGCCCCCCTTCAGACCCTGCACTTGGACGTTTGGGGCCCTGCCCCCGTCCCCGGACCGCGCGGTGAGCGCTACTTCCTTGTGCTCGTAGACGACTACACGCGCTACACCACGGTGTTTCCCCTGGAGCGGAAGGCCGACGTGCCCGACGTTCTTCTCCCGTGGGTTGTAGCTGCGCGTCTCCACCGCGGTCTCCCCGTGTTGTGTCTCCACTCCGACCGTGGCGGCGAGTTCGCCTCTGGTCGGCTTGGACAGTTCTGTCGTGCGGAGGGCATCACCCAGTCGTACATGTTGCCGGACTCGCCACAGCAGAATGGGGTTGCTGAGCGCCGCATCGGCTTGGTCATGGAGGTCGCCCGTACCTCCATGATCCATGCCGATGCCCCCCATTTTCTGTGGCCGTTCGCTGTTCGCTACGCGGCTCACCAGCTTAACCTGTGGCCACGCTCCCAGCGGCCGCAGGTTTCGCCGACCCTCCTTTGGACCGGGTCCCCCGGTGACGCGTCTGCGTTCCACGTCTGGGGCTGCCTTGCTCACGTTCGTGCCTCTGGCACGGACAAGCTCACTGCCCGCACTGTCCCCTGTGTCTTCCTCGGTTTCCCCCTGGACTCGTCTGACTGGCTTTTCTACCACCCGCCGTCTCACCGCTTCCTCCACTCTCGTGACGTCACCTTTGACGAGTCCGTCTCCTTCTACCGCCGCTTCCCTCACCGAGGTCTCCCAGTTGCCCCCCCCCTTTTCCTTGCTCCCTCTCCCCCGGTAGCCCCTGCCCCTCTCCCGCCTCGTCCTGCCCCGTCTGGTGTCTCCCACGTCACTCCCCTCCCGTCGGTTGTCCCCGTTGAGGAGTCTGCTGACTCTGGTGGTACCCCCGGTCCGTCCTTGCCGCGTCCCCCTTCCCCAGTGCCTCCGCCCCCACTGTCGCAGTCGCCGACCCCGCTGCCGCCGCCGTCGCCGTCGCCGCCGCAGCCGTCGCCGCTGTCGCCGCCACTGCCGCCGCTGCTCTCGGCCCCTGGGGGTGCTGGTGTGGAGGAGGGTGTTCGTCCTGCGGCTTCTGGGGGTGCCGCTGGTGTTGGAGGGGGTTCTCGCTCTGGGGGTGTTGGTTCTGGGGGTGCTGCTGTTGAGTGTTCTGCCGACGGTCGTTCTGCCTCTGCTGGTCCGAGAGTTCCGGCCCAGCCGTTGTCGCCGCCGCAGCAGCCGTCGCCGCCGGTTTCCGCTCTCCGCCTGCTCGGCCTTCCCTCCCCGGACCGCGCGCCGGTGTCTCCCCCACCGCCTCCTGACCTTCCTGTCTACGGTCCTGTGTTCCCGCCGCCAGACTCGTCTCCGGCCCGTCTTCCTCCTCGTTCCCCTCCTGTGTCTCCTCCGCTGTCCCCTGACCCTACCCCTCCGTCTCACGTTTGGGCTCGCCGTCCCTCCCGTGCTCGTCCCGTCTCTCCTGTCCTGCCCACCCACCCTATGTTGCTCCGTTCCCACTCGTCTCGTCCTCCCCTCCTCCCGTCCCCTCCTCCCTCGTCCCTTGCTGTTGCACCTCCTCCGTTCTCTGACTACCTCCGTGCTGCTCGTCCCCTTCTCCCTCGGGTCCTTGCCTCTCTTGTTACCGACCCTGCTGTTTCTGTCTCGCGCCTTGACGCGCTTGTCGCTGCTGTCGCTGACTTCGCTTCTACCCGCCGCCTTGACTACGCTACCGCTCTGGTCTCTGACCCAGCCCGTCCTCTGTCCGTCGGGGGTGCTCCTGCCCTTGGCAGTGACGTCCTAGAGGACAGGCAGTACGAGCTGGCTTTCCTTTCCGAGGCTGCTCCCCATCTCTGCTCCATGCTGTTAGTCCCTGAGGGTGACCCAGACGCCTTCGACATCCCGACCCCTCGCACCTACGCTGAGGCCACCTCGGGACCTTGGGCCTCTCAGTGGATAGCTGCCATGGAGCAGGAGATGGCATCTTGGAGATCCACCGGCACTTACGTCGACGCAGTTCCCCCGCCTGGGGTGAACGTAGTCGATGGTCGGTGGCTCTTCAAGGTGAAGCGCCCCCCTGGAGAGCCGCCTGTCTTCAAGGCGCGCTACGTGGCCAGAGGTTTCAGTCAGCGCGAGGGGGTTGACTTCTTCCAGACCTTCGCCCCGACCCCGAAGATGACCACTCTTCGGGCGCTGCTACACGTAGCAGCACAGCGTGACTACGAGCTTCACTCTCTCGACTTCTCTACTGCCTTTCTTCAGGGCAGCCTACACGAGCAGGTCTACCTGCGCCGACCACAGGGCTTCACTGGTACCTTCCCTCCTGGGACCCAGTGGCTTCTCAGGCGCCCGGTCTACGGCCTGCGTCAGGCTCCCCGCGAGTGGCACGACACGCTACGTGCCACGTTAGCAGACCTGCAGTTCTTTCCGTCCTCTGCTGACCCTTCACTGTTTGTGCGTTCCGGCCAGACTCCGTTCTACATCCTTGTCTACGTAGACGACCTGGTCTTCGCTACTCCTGACAGGGACGCACTGGCCTCTGTGAAGGCTGAGCTGCTGAAGAGACACACCTGCACTGACCTTGGAGAGCTGCGTCGCTATCTTGGCCTGCAGATCTCTAGGGACAGAGCAGCACGCACCATCACTCTGACCCAGTCACACTTGGTGCGTCAGGTCCTTCAGAGGTTCGGTCTTCAGTTCTCCTCCGCACAGCCCACACCTCTACCCGTAGACCATGGGCTCTCTGCTCCCGTTCCTGAGGAGCCAGTAGAGCCCAGTGGCCCCTACGCAGAGCTGGTGGGTTGCCTCATGTACCTGATGACTTGCACTCGCCCAGATCTCGCATACCCTCTCAGCATCCTGGCTCGCTTTGTGGCTACAGGCAGACACCGACCTCAGCACTGGTCTGCCGCTAAGAGGGTTTTGCGTTATCTTGCTAGTACATCAGGCATGGGGTTAGTGCTAGGAGGACGCAGGCCAGTGGTCCTTACTGGGCACACAGACGCTTCTTGGGCAGACGACGCTGAGACGCTCAGGTCGTCGCAGGGCTACTGTTTCAGCCTTGGTTCGGGTGCTATCTCTTGGAGATCCACTCGCTCGTCGTCTGTGGCTCAGTCTAGCTGTGAGGCTGAGATCTACGCTGGTGCCATGGCGGCACAGGAGCTCCGCTGGCTGACCTTCTTGCTCACAGACTTAGGTGAGCGGCCTAGCTCTGCCCCGGTCCTGTACGCTGACAACAGGGCCATGATACTCCTGTGTCAGGAGCCTTGGCTTGAGGGCAGAGCGAAGCATATCCAGCTGCGGTACTTCCTCCTGCGCGAGCTACAGCAGCGCCGCCAGGCCCGCGTAGTTCACTTGGCCTCAGGTGCCAACACAGCTGATATCTTTACTAAGGCGCTTGCGCCTAAAGATCATCAGCGGCACTGTGTACAGCTTGGTCTTGTTCCTATAGCTGCTCCCCTGTTAGGATCCTGATTGTGTACTCTCTATTATATATGCTTGTCAGACTGGCCTTGTGGCCTTACCTCCAGTGGCTGGACTAGTAGTGCCACCCTGGCTTGCTTCAGTTTTGGTTGTATTCTTGCTGACTGGTCTCCAGACCCCTGCCTCAGTGGTTGGACTAGTAGTGCCGCCCTGAGCTGTTTGCTTCTTGTTTAGTTTCACCCCTTGTCTAGCCTAGGGGGTGTGTCAACTTATACATATTATCTATGTAGAAGTTATAGGCTAGACTGAGGTATGCTTCTAGTGAGTACAACCAACTAGTATTTGTTCTAGGTTTCCACCTCTAGTAAATCATTCGTTTCTACGTTAACATTCTGATGGCTCATAATTTTTTTTTAGGGGACCCTGAAAATTCAGACTTTTCTGCATGGAGAATCCTGATGGATCAGGAAGCCTCAAAACTGATCTAGAGCCCTGTAGTGGACTACTCCAAACACTGAAGAAGTGTCAACAGGCTCTATGTCTATGCAGCCCTTGAGCAGCCTTGGAAGGAACAAGCAACAAGCTGTCTTGCCCCTAGGCGGAAGCAGGAGTCAGTGCCAGCAGAAGCAATGGTGTCAGCAGCAGCACCCACCCACAAAGCCCAGAGCCCAGAGCCCCCACACCCCCTTTGCCATGGTTTTTGAGGCACCTAAAAGAGCAACTGTCTACGGAAGAATCCAGCCCAGAGGCGAACGCACGCATCGTTGCCAGCAGACGCGGACGCGCCCCCCACGTGCGCGTCCTAGAACAGAGGACAGTGAACAGCCTACGGAAGAGTCCAGAGGCGAACGCAGGCGTCGTTGCCAGCGGAGGCGATGGTGGAGGCATCCACAAAGGCGAGGGCGGACACGCCGCCCACGTGCGCATTCTTGAAGGTGAGGCGGTCGGCGGGCGGCTTGCTGACGTCATACACGATGATGGACATGTCCAGGGATGCGGTTGCCACGCGCGCCGAGTCGGGCGCCCATGCAATGGCGCTGATGCGTGCTGTGTGATACACCATGTTGCGCATCTTCACCTGGTGGGATGTGGGAGGAATTGGGGGAGAGGGGGGGGAGGAGGAGGAGGAGGGAGGGGAAGGAAGACAGGAGAGGAGTGAGGGGTAGGGGCAATGTCGCTGAAGCAATGGTGCTGATGCGGCAGACAGGCTGACCCCTCTCGGCAGACGAACAGCTCACCTCTCGAGTGGCCGTATCCCACACCAGAGCCTCCCTGTTCTGGTCACCAGTAGCCAGCATGGACCCGTCCGGGGAGTACCGCACGGCCGTGATGGGCCCTCGGTGCCGCTCCAGCTTCGCCACCTCCTCCAGAGTATCGCCCTTCACACTAAACACCCGCACCGCCCCATCCTCCCCTCCCACCGCCGCCTCCTTCCCGTCCGGAGACAGGGCGGCAGCAGTGGCAGTGGAAGGGAGGGGGAGGGAAGAGAGGAGGGCGGAGGAGCGGAGGAGGGTGACTCCAGATGCCGTGGCGAGGATGGCGAGGTCAGGGTCGTGTGCTGCGATGCAGATGTCCTTGGGATGCGCGCCGATTGCCACCGTTGGGGTGCTGGGGATGGGCGTGAGGTCCGGGAGGTTTAGCAACCGAACCTGGGGGATTGGGACGAGAGGGAGGGAGGGAGGGAGGGAGGGAGGAAGGGAACAGAAACGAGAGAGAGTGATTGTGTGTGTGTTTGGAGAAGGGGGCAGGGAGCAGACGAGGAAACACTGGAGAGGAGAGTGCACAAGTCACACAGGGCAGAGAGCACGAGTCAGCGACCAAGGGGCAGAGAGGGCACTGACGGAATCATCATTGCAGGCGAGGAGGAGCGTGCTGCCAGCTGCAGCCATAGCCGCCACTCCTACAGGCGTAGCCGCCCCTCCACCCCCAGCAGCAGCACCTGCACCCGCACTCCCAGCACCAGCAGCAGTGACAGCAGGGTCCATCCTCCCCAGAGAGCCAGTCTCCTGGCTCCAGCGCACGACGGTGCCGTCATAGCTGCCCGTGACAATCTGCGTGGGCTCGCCCGCGCCTTCAGGCGAGAAGAGCGCGAGCGCCGTGATGGGCTTGCAGTGCCCCACCAGGGAGCGCAGAGGCGCGGAGGGGGAGGCGGGCGAGAGGTAATGGATGTCCCCGTTGAGCGAGATGGTAACGAGGTGCTCGCCCACCCACGCACAGCCCACCTGGGGGCGGGGGGACGAGAATGGGTGTGAGAAGAGGGGAGAGGGGAGGGGAGAGGGGGAACGAGGGGAGGGGAGAGAGGAGGGGAGAGGGGGGCGAGGGGAGGGGAGAGAGGGATGAGGGGACGGGAGAGGGGAGGGGATAGGGGGCGAGAGAAGGGGAGGGGAGAAGGGAGGGGGGCGTGAGAGGAGGGGAGAGGGGAGGGGAGGGAGGGAGGGAGGGAGGGGGGCGCAGCAGGTTTCTAGAAAGCGTGGAGGATGAGGATATACACAGATGCAAGGCAAGCAAGCATGTGTGAAGCATGTGTGAAGCATGTGTGAAGCACGTGTGAAGCATGCGTGAAGCACGTGTGAAGCATGCGAGAGCATCTGGGAGCTCCCCGTGCCAGCTCCCTTTGAGTCTGCTTTTGAGTCAACTCAAAAGCAGCTCCCCGTGCCAGCTCCCTTAGCATCAACTCTGGTGTGTTTTGAGTCGACTCAAAACACATCTACTCCTCTAACCCCACCAGTCTTCCCCCCTAGGCGTACTGCCGTGCCCCTAGCACTCATGCCTTGCATGCTTTGAAGGTGCCACCTCCCCCGGTCGCACCTGCATGTGGTCGAGGGAGGAGCCGAGCGAGAAGGTGGTGGCGACAGTGGCCGTGCTGCCGTCTGCAGCCACGTCCCACACCTTGGCCGTCTTGTCCGCCGACACCGTCAGCAGCTGGGGAGGGGGAGGGGCGAGGGTGAGGGTGGATGGAAGGGGCGAGTAAGGGAGGGGCAAGCGGGAGAGGGGTGAGGGAGGGATGGGCGAAGAGGAAGGAAGGGGCGAGTGTGGAGAGGAAAGGTAAGGATGGAACGGATGGTTAAGTAGCATAGAAAAAGGCATGGGGGTGTAATGTAGTAGGGGAGGGGAGGAAATGGCACAGCTAAGAATGAGTAGGGGAGGGTGGAGAGGGAGGGAGGAGCATGGCATGGGACAGGCAACGCACACACTCATACACTTGTCTGTTCTGTAACCCTTCTGTCCCTCCACCTCCCTTCCCTTCCCCCTTCCCCTCGCCATGCACCCCAAACCACCCTGCTTCCCGCTCGCCCCACCCCCTCCCCTCTCATTCTCCCCCCAGTCAACTCCACCTGCGCTCACCTGTTGACTTCTGGGGCCGACTCAAAAGCCACCTGCGCTCACCTGCTTCCCATCGGGGCTCCAGGCTGCAGCGTACACGCTCCCGGTGTGCGCGTTGTCGGTGCTGAGCGCGCCCTTCTTCTCGCCCGTCTTGCCGTCGAACAGCTGCCCCTGCCGGTCGGAAGACACCGACACCACCAGAGACCCGTCGGGGGAGAAGCGCACGCAGTTCACGTAGTTGCCGTGCTCCCTGGGGTAGGGACCGGGTGGGGGAGGGAGGGGGGGACGGGGGGGGGTGGATACAGGGGCGAATGAGAGCCATAAAGGGGGCGAAGCGCACGCAGCTCACGTAGTTGCCGTGCTCCCTGGCGGAGGAGGGGTGTGGAAGAGGGGGGAGGCTGTTGTATAGTGGGCGGGAGTCCAGGGGGAGGGTTGTGTGGCGAGGGGGGGTGGGTGCAGGGGCGAATGAGAGCCATAATGGGGGAGAAACGCACGCAGTTCACGTAGTTGCCGTGCTCTTTGGAAGGGGGTTGGGGGGAGGAGGGGCGGCGGGAGGAGGGGGCGGGGGAGGAGGGGAGGGGAGGAATAAAACTCGCAGGGGGAATGGCAAAGGAGATGACGGGGGGAAAGAGAGGGGGGGGGGGGGGCGGAGAGATGGGTGTAGGTAGGACATTCGCGCAACCAGCATTGCGCACATTCTCTCCGCCACCAACCCCGCCATGCTTCCGCCACACCGTGTCATCCCCACTAACCCCTGTCCCCCCCGCTCCCCTCCCCTCCCCTACCCGACCACTCTTCCCCTTCCCTTTCGTAACCCCAATCCCCATCCGCTCCCCACCCCCTCCGCGTCCCTGTCCTCCTCTGCCCCTCCTTCCCCTCCTCCCCTACTCCTCTCTAAGCCCATCCCACTGTCCGTGTCCCCCGCGCTCACTTGTTGGACGCCTTGAAGCGAAAAGGGGGGCCCTCGTAGTAGTTGATCGCGAAGTCCTCGCCGCACGTGAACGCGCGGAACGGGCGCGCGGGGCGGAACGTGCAGCTCAGCACGCGCTTCGTGTGGCCCTCGAAGTCGCCCAGATTGCCGCCCGAATCCCAGCTGCGCGGGGGGGAAGGTGCACGATGGGGAGGGGGGGGGAAGAGCGGAGGGGAGAGCGGGTCCAGGGAACGGAAGGGGGGGGAAGGGGGACGGGGGGAACGGGGAAGTGAGAACGGGGAAGTGAGAACGGGGAAGTGGGACGGGAGAGGGAAGGGAAAATTGCGAGAGGTTTGGGGTGGCGGAGAAGGAGAATTCGGCGGGATGGCTGGGGGTGGGTGAGTTGGACGGTCGAGGGGATGGAGAGCGCGCTGGCGGGAATGTGGCACCCGCGGTGACTGAGGGAATATCAGAGGGATGGATGAGTCAAGAGCTGGCAGAGACCAGCGGCAGAGCTGCTTGAGAATGGCATGGCATGATGTCGGATGATGTGGCATGATGTGGCATGATGTGGCATGATGTGGCGTGGCGTGGCATGGCGTAGCGAATACACATTACACGGCTCAAGGGAGCTGACAGACATGAGAGCGCCCCCGTCAGCAGAGACAACGAATTCAGCGTGAGATGACAGATGACTGACAACGGACTGTCCTGGAATGCCATAGAGTGCCATGGAGTGCCATGGAGGGCCATGGAGAGCCATATCCCCGCAGCCATCAGCATCACCGGCCCCATAGCGTCCCATTCACGTGAACGCGCGCACGGAGCTAGGCTCGCGGTCGCTGCACACCAGAATCCTCTGCTCGCCGTACGGCGGGTGCTTTAGAGACACATCTCAAAACTACAATTCTACCACACGCAGCCAGCATCACCATCGAACCACCCTCGGGTCGGGCGGGTAACGTCGCACTCACTTGAACGCGCGCACGTAGGTGGGCTTGCCGTTTCTGAGTCGACTCAAAAGCAAAGCCAGCATCATATCGGGAGGGTAAAATGTCGCACTCACTTGAACGCGCGCACGTAGGTGGGCTTGCCGTCGCCGCACACCAGGATCCTCTGCCCGTCCTGCGACCACTGCAGGTCGTCGATCGGGCCGTTCAGCGCCTTCAGCTCGTACTTGAGCCGCCGCTCGCCGCCGCGCCCCCACACGCGCACCATTCCGCTCACGTCCGCGGACGCCACCCACTCCCCGTTGGGGGAGACCCGCGCAACGGTCGTCGGATAGGAATGCTCGGAGTAGATCGCGCAGTCGCGCGGGTCTTTGAGCGATCGCAGGACGACGGACTTGCCGCAGCAGTACGTGATGACCTGGCTCGCCTCGTGCGACCCGATCAGCAGCCCTCGCCCGCGCTGCGTCGCGGGATGCGACGGGAATGTGCGACTGGGAGTCGCATCCATCGCAGCGGAGAGGCTCCTTGGGGCGACCTTGAATCAGATGGATGGATGAGGCTACTAGGAATGTGGGAGGAGGAATCTACGCGCAAGTCTGTCGTGTGTGGGGGAGAAAGAAAGGATCTGGTGAGAATTTGGCGGTGCAAGCTCTTCAGAATTCGTGGGGGCCAGGACAGAATTAGGCTCGGCAATCCCCATGGACCATTGGGGGGCGCGCTGCTGCGCGCGCTGGTTGTTGGGTGGACGGGAACGGTTGCGCGGGGGAAGTGGCTGGAATGGCAGAATGCGCCGCGCGTAGTGGGGGGGATTCGGGGGGAATCCCAGCAGGCACACGCGGACGAAACATCGAGACTTTCCATTTCATTTCCTCACTGTAAGGAAATTCGCTAGCCTGCAATGACCGAGTCTGTCTACGGCTCGTGCAGAACTTATACGCGCGCGTGAAAAATCAAGAAAGTAGTCAAAGGTAGAAAGAGTGCCCCAACCCACCTCTAGTGTGAGCGTGCGTGCCTGCGTTATGGTCCACCACCGCATGCCCCTTCAACCGCTTGTTGCTGAGATGGTCCTGATTCCTGAAGGATGAAAGTTGAAACCCGCTTCCAGGGAGGCTTCACAGTTGCGGATGAACACCGGTCGGGAGCTCCCTGGGGGGGAGATATGCTAGGCTGACAATGAATGCTGTCTGCCTATTACCAAGGCTCGTACAGAGCCATTACATGAGTGAGTGAAGAATCCAATAAAGTGAAAGGTGACAAAAGTGTTAAACAATCAAATGAACAAATCAATGCCTTGAAACCAAGACAGGCTGCAGCACATGCAATAGATAACTTATCTCATGGTACTGGTGGTAGTTCAATCAATGTCCAGTCAGAACCAGTAATTATGGCCACCATCAGGGCCCTACCACCGGCCCTTCCTAGGCTTGGACGTCTTGCAGGCAGGCAGGGGTGTCCCGCAGAGTTTGGGGTTGCCGGGGCGGAAGCAGGAGAGGGGCAGGTCGGAGAGGGGCTGGGGGACAGAGCCAGAGAGGGCGTTGCCAGCCAGCTGCACGTGCAGGGAGGGGGCTGCCGCCCGCAGCAGCGCAGGGATGGCTCCTGACAGCCCGTTCCACGACAGGTCCAGGGCTTGCAGGGCCTTCAGCGATGCCACGCCTGCAGGGATGCTGCCGCTCATGCGGTTGCGCGCCGCTACCAACGACTGCAGTGCCGTGAAGAGCGAGAGGGAGGAGGGGATGGGGCCAGAGAGCTGGTTGCTGGAGATGTTGAGAGAGAGGAGGGAGGAGGTGCAGGAGGCACATGAGGAGAGGAGGGAGGAGACAGAGCCCGAGAATGAGTTGGAGGAGAGGAGCAGAGTGGCAATGCGCTGCTGGCCCTGGCACAAGGCAGGCAGGGGACCCTTGAGCTTGTTGCGTGAGAGGTCCAGGTGGGTTAGGGCTGGAAGGGCAGCGATCAGCGCACTGGAGATGCTCCCAGTGAGTTTATTGGAAGAGAGGTCCAGGTGGGAGAGACGGAGAAGGGAGGATCTCTCGTTGTTTCTCAGGACAGGGGCTGGGATGGGGCTGGAGAGCTGGTTGTGGGAGAGGTCGAGCAGGGCGAGGCAGGGGGAGAAGACCGCCCCGGGGATGCTCCCAGTGAGCGCATTGTGGCTCAACCGAACCTCTGCCTTGCTCTGAAACGAAATGCATGCTCCTGCCTCTGGTGCCGGGAACGGGACGTGCTGTGGCGCAAGAGAGCCGCTGAAGGCGTTGAAGGAGAGGTCCAGATAGGTGAGGCGCGTGAGCTCCACGCTCAAAGCCGGCAGGCCTCCGGCGAACGCATTGTGAGAGACGTCCAGGGTCTTGAGAGAGTACGCGTAGCCAAAGGGCGAGGAGTCAATCTTGTTCAGCCGGTTCCAGCTCGCGTTGAGATGCCTCAACGCAGGCATGACCTGCGGGATTCCCCCGGCGACCTGGTTGTGGGAGAAGTCGCACCTCTCAAGGCTGCCCTGGAGGGCGGGGATGGTGCCCGAGAGCTGGTTGTACGACAAGTCGAGGACGTCCATCGAGAGGTTGTTGTCGATGGGGGGTATGGTGCCGGAGAGCAGGTTGTGCGAGAGGTCGAGCTCTTCGCCCACTGTTTGTTGCAGCAGGGAGGCGGGGATGGACCCCGAGATCTGGTTGTGCGCCAGGCGCAGCACGGACGCAAGGCTGTTCACAGGGACGAGGTTTTCGAGCGCGCCGCTGATGCAGTTGTGGGAGAGGTCCAAGTGAGGTCGTCCGTTCTGCCCTGCCTTCCAGAGACCGCTGCCCCCGCTGCACGTGAGGTTGTTGTGCGACGCGTTCAGGTAGCTGAACTGTCCAGTGAGCGGGGCGAGCATGGCCGCATCGCCGGACAGCTGGTTGCTGCTGAAGTCCAGCGAGGTGAGCAGAGGGAACACCCCCCCGAGACCCCACATGCGTGAACTGGAGCCGGAGGCAGCAGCGGCGTCGACAGCAGCAGCAAGGGCAGTGGAATCTCCCTGCAGCGCGTTCCCCTGCAGCTGCAGGTCCCTGAGCATCCACAGCGCGCCAAGCTTCCCTGGCATGCTGCCCTCCAGCCGGTTGTGGTCCAGAGCCAGGCGTGTGAGGGAAGTGAGAGCGCCGATGGTGCTCGCGATCGACCCCGATAGCTGATTCTCCCCCACGTCCAATGACTCCAGCGAGGGAGACAAGGCTGCTGCAGGGGTGCTGCTGGGGAGCACAGCGCCCTTGAGGCTGTTGCCACGCAGGGTGAGTTCAGTGAGCGCGGGCAGGGCGTAGAGGGCGGGGGGGATGGCGCCGGAGAGGTGGCGGTTGGAGGCGAGGTCGAGGGAGACGAGGCGGGAGAGGAGGGAGAGGGAGGCGGGGAGGGAGCCGGAGAGAGTGTGGTGGGAGATGCGCAGCGAGGTCAGCCGGGTCAGCTGCCCCAACGCCACCGACAGCCACCCATTCTGACCGTTTCTTGCAGGCAAGCCCTGGAGGAAGAAGCGCACCGGGGGAGGGGGAGGCGGGGGGTCGTGGCCTGGTCAGGGGTTTCGACCAGGCCAACTGCTCACCAGCTCCGCCCACCAGCTGTTTCCGCCATCCGCCACGGCTTCCCCCCCTGCTCCCTCCGCTGCTCCCCCAACTGCCGCCCCCAGGAGCGCGTCTCGCACGGCCAGCAGCGCAGCCGTCTCGGCAGCAGACGCCTGCACGCCAGGCGACGGCGCGGGCAGGTAACCCGCGCCCACAGCGCGCGCCATGGCGGCGCTGTTGTTGCTCACGCGCAGATAGTCCCAGACGTCCGTCCCTTTATCGAACCGCTTGTCCTCGAACTCGCGCCGGCGCGCGTCGTACAGCGGCCCCGAAAGCGCGTTAAACCGCACGTCCACGCGACCATTCGAGTCCGAGCTGAAGAACACCTCGGGAATGCCGCCCGAGAAGTTATTGTGCGACAGGTCCAAGACGTAACTCCGTGAAGGAAGCACCGAGAACGCGCTGAGGCTGCCCGAGAGGCTGTTAAAGCTCAGGTTCAGGCTGCCGTACCCGCCGCCCATGGTGACCCGCCGCCCCGTCTGTGGGTCCACTGCGAGGAACAGGTCGGGCGGAACGCTCCCCGACAGGCGGTTCCCCCCCAGGTCCAGCTGCTCCAGCGCCGTCATCTCCGCCAGCGCCGTGGGGAGGCCGCCGGACAGGCTGTTGTTGCGCAGCAAGAGCCTCTCGATACTCCGCGAGTACGCCCCCGCCGCCCCCGCGGCTCCCGCTTTCGCGCCCCCCCCCGGGAGCTCCCCCGTGAGATTGTTACTCTGCAGGTCCGCCCAGTACAGCGCCGGCGCGCGGAGAAGCTCGCGCGGAAGCTCCCCCGAGAGCGCGTTGCCGGCGAGGAGAACCTTTTCGAGCGACGGGGAGTACGCGTCGGGGCCGTCGGGAAGGGAGCCCGACAGCCCGCCGCCATTCGCGCTGAGATCCACGAGGCGCAGCGCGGGCAGGCGGAAGAGGCCGGGCGGGATGCTACCGGAGAAGCCATTATCGGTCATGACGATTTCCGTCAACTTCTGGAGGCGCGAGACGGAGTCCGGCATCTCTCCTGCGAGGCACGAATGGCGGAGGATCAACGAGGAGAGCTCCGCCAGATCCCCCACGGCGCGGGACAGCCCGCCGGGCGGGCAGCTCCCGCCCCTCCCCGGGCCCCCCGGCATGTCCTCGACACTGGGATCAGATTCAATGCTCGTGATGCGGCCGTCGGGCGAGCAGAGGATCGGGCATTCCAAGGCGCAGCTCGCCGACGCGGGGCGGGGCTGGATGCAGCAGTAGGAGACGTTGCGGTCGGCGTCTAAGAAGCCCGTTGGACAGGCCGTCGTGCCAGAAGAAGACTCCCTCGGGCAGCGCCGCGTCGACTGAGCGCATGGCGGCGAGGTCGCTGTCAGCTATGGCCGCCACGCAGCCGTCGGGGAACGGCGGGCCGATGTCGGCGGCGCGCGACGGGCGCGGGGGCGCGACGAGGGCGAGGAAAGCGAGGAGGGGGAGGAGGAGCGTGGTGGGGAAGGAGCGGAAGGAGCGAGAGATTTGCGCCATCATGGCATGTGGTGGTGCGGCTGGGAGCAGAATGGGGTGGTAGTAACTTCAAGGAGAGGTTCTACTACTAGCAACGTCGCCGCGGTCAGTTTTCTTCTACTAGGACGAGTGTGCTACTAGCGAATGAGGGAGAACTACTTCTATTACCACTGGCAGTGGCGGAAATGCGACGAGTTGAGAAGCCGAGAGCTCGGGCGGTGGCACGTCTGCTACGAGCATCAGTGCCGTGCGCTGTCGTACATACGATTCTCGAGGGAGGTCGCAGCGAGCGGTGGTAGTGGTAAGTAGTGCGGTGATGACTATAAGCGACGGTATTAGTGATGCTGGTAGCGATGCTGGTAGCGATGCTGTTAGCGATGCTGTTAGCGATGCTAATAGCGACATGCGTGGGGAAGGATGCCTCTGCTGGAGGGAAACCGGGGGGGGTATAAGCGGAGGAGGGCTCGGCAGAAGCAGATCGGCAGAAGAGGCGGGAGCGGGCTGCCGCTGGGCGCGGCAAACCTACCTGAGGCAGGTGTCTACAGTGGGCGCGAGCGGCCATGGCGGCTGCTGTCACGGCGCGCTTGCTGCGTAGATCAGATCAGCTAGGTGACGGTGTACTGGCAGGGTACAGACAGGGTACTGTAGGAGAGACCAGCAGCTTTCCCGGCGTTCAGTACACACTGCTGGCAGGTTCAGCGGGACGACGGAGAGGAAAAGGCCTGAGACGGGAGACTTGCAGGTGCGAGCAGCAGTGGAGGAGATGCGTCTCCCAACAGACGGGGAAAGAAGAGGCAAGACTCGAAAGGAAGCCGTGGAAAGGGGAGGAGCTAGAACGTGCGTGAGCTGAGCATGTGGGAGGGAGGGAATGGTGAAGAGCGGGAATGGGGGAGGTTCAGGTGGAGGCGATGGAGGAGGGGGGAGGTTTGGCTGGTTGCTGCCTTCAGTTCGATGCAGCGAGCAGCAGCCCTCTCGCTAAGCCCCAGGGCACTCCAGAAGGGGACGGAATCGCCTCTTGATTACCCGTTAAAACCAGGAACCCAAGTTTCTAGAACCTGGGGCAAGTGTTTTACAGTTGGTTGGGAAAGCCCAGGCTTTGTGTGGTGAGGGTGCGTGAATTGCAACACTCGCAGGCAATTTCACTGGTGCCTACAGCTTGCTGGCCAATCAGTAGTTTTAGTCCCAACCAACTGTTTTACAGTTGGTAAACTTGGTTTCCTGGCTTTAACAGACGGAATTCCTCCGAAAAAAACCCGTTGCCGAAAGGAATCGGCCGCCACAAATTCGGCTACTCTTGGGACACGCCCTAAGGAATCACACGACCGGGCGGGGGGATCGCTACCTCCCTACAGATTGCCCTGCTACAAGCATAGCCCGTACGGATTCGGAAAAAACAAAATACTCGTTAAGCAAAGGAATCGCGCGAAATTGTTTCCGTAAGTTGGACGGATTAGGAAAACAACCTTACCGTAAAAAAAACGGAATCACTCGAAAAAATACTCTTAATTTCTCGACATTAAGGGTAATTCTCCTGTTAGCGAGAGGCCTGGCGAGCAGGGCAAAGTACCGAGCCGCATGTTGTATTCCAGGTTCCTGCTACTGTACCATATGTACTGTATTTGTATTCAGTACAGGCTTTCACAGGTGTAGTTGTCTATCACCAAGAACGTCCAGGGCCAACATACAAAACTTATTTCTTTAGCATATGAAATTCATAGGAGAAGCACAAGCTTCTTGCGGACATTCCCAATAGAATTTTCACCCATGCAAACTACTCCAACATACAACATAAAGCTAAAAACTCATGTGAAAGCAAGGCAGACAACTATGGACAAAAGCTTAGGGAATTAGAAAGCACTCAAATTTTAAGTTGGGTTAGTGTGGTAGACCTAGGAAGTGGGCCGAGGCGCAGCCATCTTTTGCTTCTTTACTTGAGGCCCTGCATCCACTTCACTGTAAACCGACCCCCACAAAGAAAACCAAGAATGAGGTCACGGTATTGACGAGTTGAGCCCTGGTGCAACAACACCGAAATACTAGTGCATCACGATTTGATGTCATGTCAACCATGCACGCGGGCCTGATTGCGTGAAACTACAGCTGTGATACAGTGCACGGACCTGATGTCATGTGGAGTGATGAAGACCCACTGGCTGCCATTGCCAATGGCAAACTCTACAGCGTGCCGAAGGCAGATCTTGCGTGTGATGTTATCCTGCCATGCCATGCCATGCCAACCGCACAAAATGCCGTCACACAATGGCACATAGCAATACGAGTTTCCCCAATGCAGCAATGCAGCCACAGCCCTCCCCCCCCCTTTCAAGCCTCTCACACATCCCAACCCTCCCCTCATCCCATTCCCTCAGTCCCTCTTCGCTCTCACCCCCTCTCCCCCCCCTTTTCCAAGCCCCTCACACCCCTCAACCGACCATGAAGATATCGAACTCGTCCATGGCTCTGAACGGAGCCTCTGTGAGCTGGTGCAGCGACAGCGCAAAGCACAGCGTCGAGTACGACCGCTCCCCTCCTGTGGCCACAGCGGGACAGAAGACAGGGGGCAGGGGGCACGGGGCAGGGAGCAGGGGGACAGGGGGCAGGGGGCAGGGGGCAGGGGGACAGGGGGCAGGGGGACAGGGGGACAGGGGGCAAGGGGTCAGAGGAGAGGAGGGGATTAACCAGGGCAGGAGGATTAGCTAAGAAGAAGGGGGAGGAAGAGAAATGGGAGTACTGGGGGTGCGTGCACATGGTGCGGAGCGAGGAGACGAAAGACATGGGGAGAGCTGTGTGCACGTGTGGTGGTGGGTGAGGGGTAGAGCATAGAGCCAGGCAGGGAGGTAGAGACGAGCGGGGCAGGGCAGAGTAGATGCATGTGCACGCCAGCAGCACTAGCTCACCACCCCATAGTGGCAAAAGTCTTGGGACTTCACCAGTTCGCCAGCCCGTTCCCAAAGCTACTTGTTCCAGTTTGCCTCAACCAACCGTGGTATCGACATCCCAGAATCCCTAGCCCCTCCTCTAATCAACTTCCCTCCTCTCCCCTCTTTCCCCCTCCTATTCTCCCCCTCCTGTCTCCCACGTCCCGGGCAATACCAGAGAGACCTTCAACGTCGGTGCGTCACTGGGACGTGAGTCCACCATTGGATGTGTGATGCTAATTCGAGCTGTGCACGCCACGGTTTGAGGCGTTGACGTCTGGACTTAAGGTGCCTCTACACTTACCAGAGAGGGCTTTAATGTCAGTGACAGAGCCATTGGATGTATTGATCTGAGACGTGCGCAGGGGGAGGGCAGGGACGGAGGGATGGAGAGCGAGGGGAAAAAAAAAAGAGAGATGGGGAAGCGGGAGTGGTGTGAGAAAGTCGTACTTTCAAAAAGTTCATAGCAGCATGCGGGAAGAGGACACAAGGCTGACAATGCCGCACGTGCATGCTGTGACGAGGAGATGGGACGGGAGGAGGATTGGAGTCTATTTTTGAGGCACCTCAAAAATGGACTCCTCGTGCATGATGTGACGAGGAGAAGGAACAGGAGGAGGATTGGAGGAGCAGAGACTGAGGAGGGGGGTATAGGGGTGTGGAATGTGCCATCTTTGTAATGGCACACTCAATCAACAGAATCAAAGGTCTTCACTCGCACGACCCCACACTGGCCCAAAAAGCATGGATCTTGCACGCACCTGTTGGGAAAGTCTTGCTTGGAACACAGGAAAGCCATTCACCTCCCCACCCACACATTTGTGCCAATCATCCACCCACACACACACTTTTTGAGCCATTCACAGCCACCCCCACCCCCCACTGCCCACCGACCTCCAGTGTGAGCGTGCCTGCGTTATGGTCCACCACCACATGCCCCTTGAACCGCTTCTTGCTCAGGTGGTCCTGAAACCTGCCGCCAGTGGGAAGCAGCAGGGGAGAGAGAAGGGGTTGGGATATGGGGGGAAGAAGAGACGGGAGAGGGAGGGAGGTAATTGAGGAGAGCATGAGAGAGGAAGGACCGTGGAGAGGACGGGCAAAAGCAGCGGACACCTCCGTACCAGATGTCCCTTCGTTGCATGCTCCATGCCCCATGCCCCATGCCCCATGCCCCATGCCCCATGCCCCATGCCCCATGCCCCATGCCCCTATGCTTCCATACTCCCATATTACTGCACATCTCCCTTCGTTGAATGCTCCATGCCCCCATGCCCCATGCCCCATGCCCCATGCCCCATGCCCCATGCCCCATGCCCCATGCTCCATGCCCCATGCCCCATGCCCCATGCCCCATGCCCCATGCCCCATGCCCCATGCCCCATGCCCCATGCCCCTATGCTTCCATACTCCCATATTACTGCACATCTCCCTTCGTTGCATGCTCCATGCCCCCATGCCCCATGCCCCATGCCCCATGCCCCATGCCCCATGCCCCATGCCCCATGCTCCATGCCCCATGCCCCATGCCCCATGCCCCATGCCCCATGCCCCATGCCCCATGCCCCATGCCCCATGCCCCTATGCTTCCATACTCCCATATTACTGCACATCTCCCTTCGTTGAATGCTCCATGCCCCCATGCCCCATGCCCCATGCCCCATCCCATGCCCCATGCCCCATGCCCCATGCCCATGCCCCATGCCCCATGCCCCATGCCCCATGCCCCATGCCCCATGCCCCGGGCCCATGCCCCATGCCCCATGCCCCATGCCCATGCCCCATGCCCCATGCCCCATGCCCCTATGCTTCCATACTCCCATATTACTGCACATCTCCCTTCGTTGCATGCTCCATGCCCCCATGCCCCATGCCCCATGCCCCATGCCCCATGCCCCATGCCCCATGCCCCATGCCCATGCCCCATGCCCCATGCCCCATGCCCCATGCCCCATGCCCCATGCCCCATGCCCCATGCCCCATGCCCATGCCCCTATGCTTCCATACTCCCATATTACTGCACATCTCCCTTCGTTGCATGCTCCATGCCCCCATGCCCCATGCCCCATGGCCCATGCCCCATGCCCCATGCCCCATGCCCCATGCCCCATGCCCCATGCCCCATGCCCCATGCCCCATGCCCCATGCCCCATGCCCCATGCCCCATGCCCCATGCCCCATGCCCCATGCCCCATGCCCCATGCCCCATGCCCCTATGCTTCCATACTCCCATATTACTGCACATCTCCCTTCGTTGAATGCTCCATGCCCCCATGCCCCATGCCCCATGCCCCATGCCCCATGCCCCTATGCTTCCATACTCCCATATTACTGCACATCTCCCTTTGTTGAATGCTCCATGCCCCCATGCCCCATGCCCCATGCCCCATGCCCCATGCCCCATGCCCCATGCCCCATGCCCCATGCCCCTATGCTTCCATACTCCCATATTACTGCACATCTCCCTTCGTTGCATGCTCCATGCCCCCATGCCCCATGCCCCATGCCCCATGCCCCATGCCCCATGCCCCATGCCCCATGCCCCATGCCCCATGCCCCATGCCCCATGCCCCATGCCCCTATGCTTCCATACTCCCATATTACTGCACATCTCCCTTCGTTGCATGCTCCATGCCCCCATGCCCCATGCCCCATGCCCCATGCCCCATGCCCCTATGCTTCCATACTCCCATATTACTGCACATCTCCCTTCGTTGAATGCTCCATGCCCCCATGCCCCATGCCCCATGCCCCATGCCCCATGCCCCATGCCCCATGCCCATGCCCCTATGCTTCCATACTCCCATATTACTGCACATCTCCCTTCGTTGCATGCTCCATGCCCCCATGCCCCATGCCCCATGCCCCATGCCCCATGCCCCATGCCCCATGCCCCATGCCCCATGCCCCATGCCCCATGCCCCATGCCCCTATGCTTCCATACTCCCATATTACTGCACATCTCCCTTCGTTGCATGCTCCATGCCCCCATGCCCCATGCCCCATGCCCCATGCCCCATGCCCCATGCCCCATGCCCCATGCCCCATGCCCCATGCCCCATGCCCCTATGCTTCCATACTCCCATATTACTGCACATCTCCCTTCGTTGAATGCTCCATGCCCCCATGCCCCATGCCCCATGCCCCATGCCCCATGCCCCATGCCCCATGCCCCATGCCCCTATGCTTCCATACTCCCATATTACTGCACATCTCCCTTCGTTGAATGCTCCATGCCCCCATGCCCCATGCCCCATGCCCCATGCCCCATGCCCCATGCCCCATGCCCCATGCCCCATGCCCCATGCCCCATGCCCCTATGCTTCCATACTCCCATATTACTGCACATCTCCCTTCGTTGCATGCTCCATGCCCCCATGCCCCATGCCCCATGCCCCATGCCCCATGCCCCATGCCCCATGCCCCATGCCCCATGCCCCATGCCCCATGCCCCTATGCTTCCATACTCCCATATTACTGCACATCTCCCTTCGTTGAATGCTCCATGCCCCCATGCCCCATGCCCCATGCCCCATGCCCCATGCCCCATGCCCCATGCCCCATGCCCCATGCCCCATGCCCCTATGCTTCCATACTCCCATATTACTGCACATCTCCCTTCGTTGCATGCTCCATGCCCCCATGCCCCATGCCCCATGCCCCATGCCCCATGCCCCATGCCCCATGCCCATGCCCCATGCCCCATGCCCCATGCCCCATGCCCCTATGCTTCCATACTCCCATATTACTGCACATCTCCCTTCGTTGCATGCTCCATGCCCCCATGCCCCATGCCCCATGCCCCATGCCCCATGCCCCATGCCCCATGCCCCATGCCCCTATGCTTCCATACTCCCATATTACTGCACATCTCCCTTCGTTGCATGCTCCATGCCCCCATGCCCCATGCCCCATGCCCCATGCCCCATGCCCCATGCCCCATGCCCCATGCCCCATGCCCCATGCCCCATGCCCCTATGCTTCCATACTCCCATATTACTGCACATCTCCCTTCGTTGCATGCTCCATGCCCCCATGCCCCATGCCCCATGCCCCATGCCCCATGCCCCATGCCCCATGCCCCATGCCCCTATGCTTCCATACTCCCATATTACTGCACATCTCCCTTCGTTGCATGCTCCATGCCCCCATGCCCCATGCCCCATGCCCCATGCCCCATGCCCCATGCCCCATGCCCCATGCCCCATGCCCCATGCCCCATGCCCCTATGCTTCCATACTCCCATATTACTGCACATCTCCCTTCGTTGCATGCTCCATGCCCCCATGCCCCATGCCCCATGCCCCATGCCCCATGCCCCATGCCCCATGCCCCATGCCCCTATGCTTCCATACTCCCATATTACTGCACATCTCCCTTCGTTGAATGCTCCATGCCCCCATGCCCCATGCCCCATGCCCCATGCCCCATGCCCCATGCCCCATGCCCCTATGCTTCCATACTCCCATATTACTGCACATCTCCCTTCGTTGAATGCTCCATGCCCCCATGCCCCATGCCCCATGCCCCATGCCCCATGCCCCATGCCCCATGCCCCATGCCCCATGCCCCATGCCCCATGCCCCATGCCCCATGCCCCATGCCCCTATGCTTCCATACTCCCATATTACTGCACATCTCCCTTCGTTGAATGCTCCATGCCCCCATGCCCCATGCCCCATGCCCCATGCCCCATGCCCCATGCCCCATGCCCCTATGCTTCCATACTCCCATATTACTGCACATCTCCCTTCGTTGAATGCTCCATGCCCCCATGCCCCATGCCCCATTGCCCCATGCCCCATGCCCATGCCCCATGCCCCATGCCCCATGCCCCATGCCCCATGCCCCTATGCTTCCATACTCCCATATTACTGCACATCTCCCTTCGTTGAATGCTCCATGCCCCCATGCCCCATGCCCCATGCCCCATGCCCCATGCCCCATGCCCCATGCCCCATGCCCCATGCCCCATGCCCCATGCCCCATGCCCCATGCCCCATGCCCCTATGCTTCCATACTCCCATATTACTGCACATCTCCCTTCGTTGCATGCTCCATGCCCCCATGCCCCATGCCCCATGCCCCATGCCCCATGCCCCATGCCCCATGCCCCATGCCCCATGCCCCATGCCCCATGCCCCATGCCCCTATGCTTCCATACTCCCATATTACTGCACATCTCCCTTCGTTGCATGCTCCATGCCCCCATGCCCCATGCCCCATGCCCCATGCCCCATGCCCCATGCCCCATGCCCCATGCCCCATGCCCCTATGCTTCCATACTCCCATATTACTGCACATCTCCCTTCGTTGCATGCTCCATGCCCCCATGCCCCATGCCCCATGCCCCATGCCCCATGCCCCATGCCCCATGCCCCATGCCCCATGCCCCATGCCCCATGCCCCTATGCTTCCATACTCCCATATTACTGCACATCTCCCTTCGTTGAATGCTCCATGCCCCCATGCCCCATGCCCCATGCCCCATGCCCCATGCCCCATGCCCCATGCCCCATGCCCCATGCCCCATGCCCCTATGCTTCCATACTCCCATATTACTGCACATCTCCCTTCGTTGCA